ACATCTCGTCTTTCTGCTCCTACTCAGTCTTCTTCTTCCACTCATTCCCTAAGATTGGATGCTCCTCAGGACTCCATTCTTGGCTCCTGTCTCTTTTCACTGTGCTCATTCTCCCTGAGAAGACTTATTCTCCTCTGCGGGCTTCCATCACCACCAGTCCACATCTCTTTCCTGAGATCCCAAACCTCAGTTCCTACTGACTAATGATGCCATCTAAGTGTCCAAAAGGCACTTCAAGGCTCAACATGTCCCATACTGAGCTCATCTAATTTTCCCTGAGTGTAGTTATGCCTTCTCCTGCATTGTCTGTTTTAGTAATTAGTGCCCCTTTCCCAATTACTCCAAACAGAAAACTAGGAATGTCTGGACTCCTTCTTCTACATCTTATCTCTAAAGTCTGCCACTCTACCCTCTTTAACATCCTCCTTTCTGGCCTTTTATCTTCTGCTTCTGTTTAGTTCAGGTCCCTGTCATCTCCTGCTGGCACTGTTGCAGTAGTTTTCTGACCTTCAGTCTCATTCCCTTCCCCTCCATCTTCTATATGGCTATGAGAGGGTCCTTCTCCACCTCAAATCTGATCATGTTACTCCGCCACTCAAGGCTTCACTGGCTTCCCCATCATATTCTTTTTTTTTTTTTTTTTGCCGTACGCGGGCCTCTCACTGTTGTGGCCCCTCCCGCTGCGGAGCGCAGGCTCCGCAGCCATGGCTCACGGGCCCAGCCGCTCCGCGGCATGTGGGATCTTCCCGGACCGGGGCACGAACCCGTGTCCCCTGCATCGGCAGGCGGACTCTCAACCACTGAGCCACCAGGGAAGCCCTCCCCATCATATTCTGAGTAAAGAACAAAATCAAGACCCATCCTCTCCTGCAGTCTGAGCCCTCCTGGCCCCACAACTTTATTTCCTGCCACTTTTCATCATGCCTTCTAGATTTCAACTATAGCAAAATACTGTTCCTTGAATATGCAATGCTAGTTTCAGGCTTCTGAGCCTTTGCAGATGTTCCCTGAACATCCTTCCTCCTTCCTCTTAAGCTAACTGGTGAACTGATGTTTTGAGATCTTTTCAAGTGACTTCCTCTGTGAAGTTTTCTCTGACTACTTTGTTCCTTTCCCTCTACTTTTATGGCCCTTGTTACATTTACTGATAATTACTGGGAGTTCCTCAAGGATGGGCCTAGTTCTGTTTATCTTTATGAGTCCGAGGCCTACCACTGTTAAATAAGTGAGAGAAATGCAGCATAATGAAGTGAGGCGAGAGAGAAGACAGAATGCCCCCTGATCAGGCCCCTCCTCACTCTGTGGAGAGAGCATCTATTCCGCAGACACCTTCATACATAAGCCAGGCCCCAACATGTGTGGTGCCAGGGCTGCTGCTGTGGATCAGTCACTGCCAGGGCACATTGTTCATGATTGTGTGGGTCCCATGGAGCCTGTACTAATAAAAACTTTATAGCTAGCACAAATGTAGTGCTCAGTATGTAGTATACTAACTACTATTCTAAATGCTTACATATTAAGCACTAGATTACATAGTATCACTTTATCCTCACAGAAACCTTTGACTTAGGTATTAGTATTAGTCCCACTCTACAGATGAGGAAACTAAATCCCAGATCACACAGCTAGTAAACGGAGGAGCCAGGGTTTTCTTTTTTAAAGAGGGATCTTTTTTTTTTAACTTTAGAGGATTTTTAACTTTTTAAAAACATTTATCTAGGCTGCACCAAGTCTTAGTTGTGGCATGTGGGATCTTTGTTGCGGCATGAGAGATCTTTAGTTGCAGCATGCGGACTTCTTAGTTGCAGCATGTGGACTCTTAGTTGCAGCATGCATTGCAGGATCTAGTTCCCTGACCAGGGATCGAACCCGGGCTCCCTGCATCGGGAGCGCAGAGTCTTATCCACTGGATCACCAGGGAAGTCCCCAGGATTTTTTAAAAGAATAGTCTAAACTGGTCTCCCTGTATTGTTTTCTCCGTTTTCCTGTAAATTTAATAAGTTCTATAGTAAAGCATTTTTAAAAGATTTGACTAAATCAATGTGTTTTAAACCCCTCCCCCACCCTTTTTTAAAAAGCAATAAAAACCCTTTCTTCAACCAAAACCTTGCAGAAAGGCTGATATGTAAATGAAATCAAAACGGATCTATTCTGGTTGAAGGCAAGCCGGATCCCCTCCTATTACTTTCCTCTCTCACTCAGCCCTGCCCAAGGCACAAGTTTCAGGAAACACAGTTGAATGAAAAGCACTGGACCAGACTAACTCTTAAAGATTCTTCTGGCACTTTTTCCTTCCTCCAGTTATACTGGCTTTGCATTGGCCATTAGCCTATATATTCTGTCCCAGAAACAGTGAGATTGAGCTATTAATCATCTCTGTAGTCTTTGGAGAATTTGTTTGCAGGGTTGTAGAAACATAGGTTGCTGTTAGAGATGCATTTCAATGTCTGTCTCTGCTGAGTGTTTATTAATAATCTTGCTAATCGCCACTCTAGTTCCTGGATCTAGCTAACTCCTGTCAGGTGTCCTTGGGGGGCATTTTAAATTCTCCCTGACTTCTTGGAGCCAGATGCTTCCTTCTGCCTGGATTCCTCTCTGATACTTATATTCATGAATATTTCACATTTAATCTCCCTGATTACATTTCCATGTGATGGTCATGGTGCACTGGCTGCATGTCTCAGGAAAGACATACAGGAAGCCCATAGTAAAGGCTTGAGTTTGCAGGCACAGTGCCAGAGATCTTTGTTCCTGCCACTAAGATGGCCTTCTATCATGGACAATGACGGGGAGATGCTGAATGATGAGTTTGCATGGGACCTCTCAGTCTAGGGCTTTGCACCCTGGCTCTTGACCCAAAGGGACTGGCAGTTTCCCTCAAGGATCAAATGCCACTAGGACCTGCCCAGTGGCTGCAGGGACCACACATGTGTCCCTGTGACCAGAGTTGCTCAACAGCTTCCCAGCCCCCCGTCCTTCCTGCACCATCTCCCTCCAGTGTTGCTACCTAGTACTTCCAGCCTGAGAAAAGAAACTCTGATGAACTCATCTGCACTGAGGAGGGAAAGTTAGCCCCAAATGCCTGAGAGCCTGAGTTCTTAAAGTTAGCTATTGGAGGAGGCAGGGATGATGGTCAAAGAGGCAAGATGAGCTAAAGGGCGTAGTGTCCTGGAAGCCAGGGGAGGAAACCATTTCCAAATGGATGTGGTATGTGTGACATGTGACAAATGCTACAGAAAAAGTAGAGGAAATTGGAAATCTGCCACCGCTTCCCTGGTAGGGCTCCACAGGCACGTTTATGGGTTTTACCCTTTGAGAAGCCCGCCCTCAGGCTGCTTTGGGAGTGAGCCTTCCCTGCACCCTAGAGCTCAGCCATCAGGTCTCCACGTTCCCTACAGGCAGCACTTGCGAGGCTGCTTTGGCCACAGAGAGGCATGTAAGGGCCACTAGAGGCCTCCTGCTCCAGGGCTGCAGGGGATAGATGCTGCCAGTAATCAGTCTCCCGAGAAGGAGCTGAGCCAGGGAGGCAGAGGATGAGGGACTTGGAAAGACTGTGGCATGGGAAGTTGCCTGGGATGCAGGCACTGCAGCTCCCCGCCCCGCCTCACACCTGTTCTACCTTCCTGTCCCATCCCCCTCAAGGACAGCTAAGGATGGAAATCGAAGCAGAGGACACAGGCCCAGGTTCTGCCCTCGGGAACTCACAAAGCACTATGGCAACACAGCCCACCCTGGGCCTTGCACTCTGGATGGCCTAAGGAAACATAGACAAGGCCAGGATTTCCCTCCCAAACATTCTAGACTTTTCCCTTTTCCCTTAGTGACAAGCGTGTTTTCATCCCCACTGCTTCATTCTAAAGGGAACAGAAATCACCCTAATGGCTATATACCCTTCCCTTGATGGGTCACCAGAAGCCACTCAGATCCCCGGGCCTGGAGCATTCTGCCTGCCTATCTGCCTGCGCTCCCTGTCCCCAGAGGCAGAGCAGGCACAGCCCTGGATCCTCTCTGCAATCCTTAGACCTTAGGCATACCACTCTGTGACCCTAGGCGGATGGTTAGGGTGGCAGCACCTGTATCAATGGTTGGTCATCAGTTTCTCAGGGAGAATGTGAATGGCTCCAGCCCCTTCCAACTGACTGAGGCAGGGTGGGCCAAGGCCCTGGATCTTGTAGCAGAGATTTGGGGTGTTTGGGAGGGAATAGTGAGGCTAGAGTAGGACTCTGGGCAGCATGGCGCCCATCGCAATGGGAAGAAGTCAGTAAGGAGGGCAGTGAGGGAGATCGAAACAGTTGCAGACCCTGGACGATGCACAGGATGCATGCTTTCCTACCTTCCTTGTCATCTGTAGCGTCAAGCCCTGTGTGGGCAACACAGGGCTAACTGGCCACCAGCTGATTTGTCATTATTTGTCTTCTCACCTACCATTCCCAGCCAACCATTTAGGTTCTCGCAGGAGACACTCTTTAGGACTCATCTGTGAAATGGAGAAGTCCTCATTAGAACTGCTGTGGCTGCAGCCTTGAAGTCTAGCCTGGCTTGGACAGTCAGTTCTCTGGATCCTGTGAAGGGATCATTCAGTGCTAGGGGGAAACAGAGGGAGAAGGCCTGTCTCAGGGAGCACCTACCCTGACTTAAACTCACAGGAATCTAGAAAGACCTTTCCAAACAAGTACGTAGGAAGGGCCCTGAGGAGCAGGGCAACGAGTTTGGGAGGTTGGAGAAGGTGGTCCTTTGGGTTTAAGGAATTGCGGTAGGCTTCCTGGGGGAGGTGGATCACACAGGACTTAAAAGATAGACACCCAGGTGTGTGTAAGTAGGGCTGAGAGCCTTGGCTCTTCCACCCAGCTCAGTGTCTTCCTCCTGTGGTAGATGGGTCTGTCCCTCCCTCCCTGAATACCCTGCCTGCTGCCAGGGAAAAATACCTCCAGAGGACAGGTGAGAGCAGCCCACTGTGTTCACTTCCTAACAGCTCCCTATCTCTCTGCTTTCTCCCCCAGGACCCAGCCGCCGCCTCCATCTCAGACGGAGACTGTGACGCCCGGGAGGGTGAGTCAGTAGCCATGAATTACAAACCATCCCCGCTCCAAGTGAAGCTGGGTGAGTGTGTCTGGGGGGTGAGGGAAACGTGGGGAGTGGACAGACAAGGTGCTCTGGGCTGGGTCTACAATGAGGTACCACAAACAAACCAACTCAGGCTAGCTGATTCCAAGACTCCAGCCACCAAGTCATTGGCACCGCCAGGCACCTTATCTCCTGCAAGGCCAAGAGGGAAATTACAGTTCTCTACAGGAGCCCAGAACTCTAGAGGCATCTCTGAGGCCAAGAAGGCTCCAGGTATTCCAGGGGATAGCTGCAGGGGTGAAAGCATGGAACTCCAGAGAGTGGGTTGGCAGTCCCATCAAACACTGGACCAGGCCAAGAGGAAGCTGCCTTAGAGGTGGGGTGTCAGTTGCTGTGTCTGAGGGGTAGAAAGGAATGAGGCTCCCAAAGCCTAGAAGCTGAGCCCCTCTCCCCATTCCTATGTCAGCCTATCTGGAGATCTCAGGATCTCATAGGCTCCTGTTTGGGGGAGCTTTCCCATAGTTTCTTAATAAACCCAAATCTCTCCCCCACTTTCCAGGGTCACCTTTCCCTTGGGGGTTTATCTCACGTCCACTCCAAAGTCAGTTTATGCTGCAGCCTGCTCCTTTGAAGTCACATGTCTCCCAACCATTGCCCAGACCTCCTGCAGCTGCTGCTGTCACTTCACCCTATGCCGAACACTGCGTCTCTCCCTTCAGGGACCAGTTTCACTCACCCAAGGCTGCCATGCGTAACAGGCTTGTAATTAATAATTTGCCTTCGGGAATTCCCTAGCGGTCCAGTGGTTAGAACTCCGTGCTTCCACTGCCAAGGGCCTGGGTTTGATCCCTGGTCAGGGAACTAAGATCCCGCAAGCCACAAGGTGCGGCCAAAAATAAATAAATATAAAAATAAAAAAATAAAAATTTGTTTTCACGAAGAGAAGTTATAACATAGTGCATCCAGGAAAGAGTTTAACAATTAAATACAGGCTGTCACTATCCTTCAAAACTTCTCTGCCATCCCTGCCACCCTCCTGCCCATCTTTCTCCTCAGGTTCCAGCTGCCCATCAAATACTGGACCCCTCCTTAGTCCTGAGAACCCTTTCCCATCTGTTCTAAAACATTCTCCCTCTGCAGCTGCCAGGGCTCCTTTTCACAGAGTCCTGTTATGTTATTCAGCTTTTTGTTAACCTTGTTTTTCTCCTTCCAGACCAAATCCGGGGAGCCCCTCAGGCTGTTTTTCTAAACAAGAGAGCAGTCCTCTCAGTGGAATTTGTTCATTGTCCCAGGACACCAAACTCAAACTGTTTTTGAGCAGCCAGTTTTATTTGCTTATTATTGTTTAATTTAACAATACAAATATTTTAACAAGTATAACTTCTCCTTTACTCTCGCCTGTCATATTCTACTCCCCAGAGATCATCATTCCAAGCGTTTTTTAGTTTTTTCATTTTATTTTTTATTTTAACACAAGTGGTATCATACTGTACATATTTTCTGAAACTTTTTTTGTTTTTGTTTTTGTTTTCCACTTAATGTCTTAGAACCCCTTCCAATATCAGTATATAGAGAATGACTTCATTCTTTTAAATGTTGCATAGTAGTCTGTAGTTTGGTTTTCCCAGTTTATTGTTAGCATTTTTTCAGTTTCAAACAATTCCAACATGCTTTTAAAATAACACTTAAGAAATAAAATAAAAAATAAAATAAATAAAATAAAATGACACTCTTTTGTCCTGCCCATTACATTACCACCAAAGCTCCTCTAGAAAATTCACAACCTCGTCCCAGTTGCACTGAGGAAAATCCCCACCAGGAACTTTAAGGCGAATTTCACCCCCTAGAGGCTTGGGGTGGTAATGGCAGGTGCTGCCTGCTGGAAAGGAGGTGGAGGCAGGTTTGAGGGAGTTAGGTGAGCAGTGGCAAAGAAAGAGGGTTAGAGACTGGGAGATGAGAGACACGGAAACATGGAGGTCGAGGAAATTCCAGAGTCACAGTAGCTGGAAATGCCCATCCCATCCTTCCTCTCTGGAGCTTGTCGTTATTTTATGAGAGCTTTCCCCTGGCAGTCCTTTTTCCTACATCGGGGCTGAAATGACAAGGAGGAATGGGTAGCCAGGTCTCCTCTAGGGCCCAGGCAGCAACTGGTTACTGGTAACAGGGCCACACATGAGGCAATGGGTCACCTGGTTGCCAGCCCCATGAATCTGGTAGGCTATGGAGCCTCAGAGAACTCAGAGGCTGACAGATGAGTCAGAAGTAGTCTAGGCAGAGGGGCTCCCCCAGCCTCCTGCCCCTTACCCTGCCAGCCCCATCTGCCCCTCCCACTCTACAATCTTCAGTGGCTTCTTTTCCTTCTGCATTAATCCCTAACTCGTCTGTTTGGCATTGAAGACCTTCATGCTCTGAGTCTGTAATCAGAGGGAGCCCCCAGCCCCTTAGCACAGGACCTGAGACATGACTGGTGACACAGATGTTTGCTGAATAAATAAATGACTGAATAAATGTATCCTACTTTTCTAAACTGACCTCCCTCCATCTTCACCCCTCCATCCCATCCACATCCACACTTATTACATTCAACTTCTAAGTGCATTTTTCTGTACACTCTCCCTCCTTACTAGAATGCCCTCCTCTCTCCATCTCAAGGTGTCACCTGCAGGAAGCCCTGCCATCCTTCTGCTCTATGTTTCCTGCTCCAACCTTTCTCTGGAATCAAGCACACACTAGCTGCCCAACTTGGGAGTACAGCTCCTGGAAGACAGGGGTCAGCCTCCTCATGTTGCCCCCTCACTATCTGCCTCAGGTTGTGCAGAGCCAAGTACTGTCTCTCCCGAGCAGCAGGGCCTGGAGTTGGATCCCTGCCTCAGCTCTTAGAGAAGCAAGGGGTTTCACCATGGAGGCCCAGCCCAGGCTGCCCCGAACAGTAAGGCAGGGTGCCCCTGGGGGCAGGACACAGCTTCCTTCCCGTGTTCCCCTGCAGAGAAGCAGCGGGAGCTGGCCCGGAAGGGCTCCCTGAAGAATGGCAGCATGGGGAGCCCCGTCAACCAGCAACCCAAGAAGAACAATGTCATGGCCCGGACAAGGTAGAGGCCCCGCCCCCACCCCGCTCCACCCTACCAGGGCCCTGCCAGCCAGCACCTATCTCTGCTGGTTCTGAGCCTCCTGTCTTCCCTCCCTCCTCAGGCCCAGCTCCTCTCTGAGAGGAGAGGGCCTCCCAGGATCCAAGGTGGCGAGGGTGGCGTAGGGGTGAGGGAGGTGGTCGGCACGGCCTAACCCAGTTCCTTGCCAGGCTTGTGTGCTTCAGTTGCCAATCCAGTCCCCACAATTCTCCACCCAGGCTGGTCGTCCCCAATAAAGGCTACTCCTCGCTTGACCAGAGCCCAGACGAGAAGCCACTGGTAGCCCTTGACACGGACAGGTGTGTACAGAGACATTGGGGCAGCCGGGCAAGCCACAGCAGCCTGTGCAAACACACAAGTGGGCTGTACAGGACGTACTTGCTATATTGTCAGAATTGGGGTGTTCCTCAGCTGGGAGCTCTCCAAATGTGAACCCCCGCAAGGAATGGAACTTTTTACCTGGAGGTGGGGGAGAGCAGAGAGAGGAAAAGGCAACTATGCAATCTGCTGCTGTCCTGGGATAGCTGATCCAATGGCTGCCCCTAAAATGGGCCCTGATGCCTTGCATGGCGCCCTGCCCCCTCTGAGGAAGGCGCCCTACTGCTGGGAACACACCTGGCTAGATCTGGACTTTGGGAAAACCCAACAAACCAGGGTAATTTGAGCCTAGAAAAAAAAGGAGGGAGGGCTCTGGGGAATTTAGGGGGCTAAGGGGGGCAATTAATTTAGAAGGGTGGAGCTAGGGAACCTGTCTTGAAACTGCATTCGCACAGCAAGCACCGTTTTTACTGAGACTGTGCTGTTTATTTGGAAGTGTCGGGGAGGGGTGAGGTATTGACCGATGGCGGTGGGGGGAGGTAAAGAGAGTTTTCTATTTAATATCTGGGAGTCACTTCCTCTCTGTCTTCTTTCCCCTGCGGCCAGTGATGATGACTTTGACATGTCCAGATATTCCTCCTCTGGCTACTCCTCTGCTGAGGTGAGGCCCCATCCCTTCCCATCCTAAACACACGTAAGCAGGCCCACCTCCAAGAGAAGGGGTGGGGCCAACGCCAAGTCATACCCTGAGAGGAGCAGTGGGCAAAGCTAGGCGGAGCCCATGGGGAGGCGGGGCCTGGGATAAGATCTGGCTGGAAAGAAAGGTGAGGCCTTGGACTCCGCCTCTAGTGCCTGGAGCCCAGGGTTAGGGACGAGGCTGGGACCCGGGTTGGAACAGGAACAGGGCCCTTACCTAGACGACACCTTACAGGAGTGGGCCTGAAATGAGGGCAGGGCCCGAATAGAGGCAGGACCTAAGGTGGGAAGTTGCCCTTAGAATGGGGTGCGGTGTGTAGCGGGGCGGGGCCCCAGGGGGACGTGCTTGTAAGGGAGGCCAGAACCTAGGCTGGGGCCGAGGAGGTGCAAAGCCTGGGGTTTTGGAGAGACCTGGGATGCAACAGGTTGGGCGCCGATGGCCTGGGCATGTGGCCCCAGCCCTGCGTGGTGCCCCCACATGGTCCCGAGCCTGACCTCCCTTCCCTTTGCCTACAGCAGATCAACCAAGATTTGAACATCCAGCTGCTGAAGGACGGCTACCGGTTAGACGAGATCCCCGACGATGAGGACCTGGACCTCATCCCCCCCAAGTCCGTGAACCCCACCTGCATGTGCTGCCAGGCCACGTCCTCCACCGCCTGCCACATTCAGTAGCTGGCGGGGCCGCTGCGGCCGGCCGGGGTGGGGCCGCCGGGGGCCAGGTTGGACCAGGCAGGGGCCAACCCCTCCCCAGCTCGTCCACCTGCCCCCGGCCCCCGCGCACCCTACAGCCGCCAACCTCGTAACAGTCATTGCTTCCTCCTATGGTAGGACGTGTACCTCTGTGTGTTCATGGAGCCGGAGAAACCAAAACCGGGTCTCTCTCCACCCCCGGGAGTGCTGAGGAGGGGAGGGGGCGGTTTGTTCAGTTACTTGGGGGACCTCACCCAGCATCCTGCCCCCTCCCCAAAGCTGCAGCCCAGTAGAGGAAAGGGGTGACTGGACTGCAGGGAGGCCAACAGTAATGAGTAGGGGAGGGATCACAAAGCCAGGGGTTTGGACCCACCCACGTGAAGCCATGAATCCCCCAGCACCAGCCAAGGAAAGGGGCTGGGAAGGAGAAAGGCCCAGGGCAGTAGGGGCAGGGCCCAGCCCTTTAGAGCCGCCTCCACATGCCCCCCTGCTGGCCCATGTACCATCTGCGTTTCTACCCTCATCTCTAGATGGGAAGCCTGACAAAGCTGCCCAGTGGGATATTGTCCCCCACCCCTTGGGGATCACTGCCTTCTTTCTCCTCTTTGCCTCATTCACCCCCTTCCTTGCTCTCTGGATTTTGTGGAGGATGAGGTGGGCGTTACAGACAGCCAGAGTTTAGGGTGGTATGATCTGCCCGCACCTACCCCTAACTAATGCATCTGTCTCTCTGTGCCCTGCCTCATCGCCCCACCCAACACACACACACACACACACACACACACACACACACACACACACACACACACACACAC